AGCTGTGAGAGTGCAGTTCAAGGTTAAACCATAGTAGTCTAATTGGCAAAATGGCTCACACTGTCCTGTCCTTGAGATAAGAAGGTCTAATAGAGGAGTTTATATTGAACAAAGCTATATATAGTCCTGCATAGTCCATGTCTGGATTTATTCTGCCTTGTCTAGACTTATTTTTTGCTTTTTTTGTGCTTTTCATTGAAAGCCCTTTATAACACAGCACATTATGTTCCGTTGCTCTGCCCGCTGCTTTAACCCTCACCTCTGTGATACAATGCTACAAAAAACAGCACCAAAGAGTGATGAATGTGGCCTGACTGATAAATTAGCGGGCCGAAATTATTGGCCAGTATCAGCTCATCACATACAGTATACACCATTGAGCTAAAACATTATGACCACTCACAAGATGAAGTAAATGATGTTGATTATCTCATAAGAATGACACTCATGGTCCGATATATATTAGGCAGTAATTTAACAACAGGAGAAATGGGCAGGTGTAAAGACCTGAACTGTAAAAAAGGGCCAAATCAACATGGCCAGTCAACTGGGTCAGAACATCTTGGAAACAGCAGGGCTTTAGGGGTACTTCCAGTCAGCAGTGGTGCATATCTACTGACAATGATTTTGACTTTGTTGCACCAGTCAATTTCAACTAGAGTGCTTGAATTGGAGGAGGCGAAAATTTTTGTCCATTTTTACTAAGCTAACTGTCATGTGGAAGGTGTGAAAATTAATGAATGTTGACAGTGTCACCACTGCTGAAAGCTGCATAGATCTATGCTTGGCACTACTGGTCTGTGCAGCAAGTCAATTTTAAATGAATTCAACAAAACTACCAGATTTGATCTGGTTGAGTTTTAAACTACCTTAACATAAATTTTAAGATTTGCATATATGATTACTACAAATATGGTGTGCTACTACAAGAACAATGGTATCTTATACTATTAGTGCTTATACTAGTACTAGATTTGCAGATGTTCATTTGATTTAATTTCATTCAGGCAGAACAAAATCAGATCAAAATGAAACTATCCACACATTCTAGATCGACTTGAATTGTTGTCTATATCTGTCCACTGAGGATGACTTTTCTTACAATATTGCTTTATTAATGTAATGGTCACATATTTCAACAGCGACATCTCATTTTGGCATGACTGCACCCAATGATTTAGATTTTAATTTATATTTTTAGATGAGTTGCAGCTGAAGCCAAAATGCTCTTGCGTTCCTTTAGTGAGGAACAATAATCTATCAGAGAAGTAACTCTCCAGGTGACATTCCTCATTTTTGCATGTTGCAACATAATAGGTTGACATGATTGACATGATGCAGGTAGACATGAATGCTTTCCAGGTGAAAGCATGTGTACATTTGGATCAGGGCTACTTGCTGATGAATGGAGCTCTGTGTTCTCTGATAAAGACACCAGCGGTTTACGCAGCATGCTGTCTCGCCTGGACATTCATTAGAAACTCTTAATGATTAACAGTGCTGTACACTCAGTGTTTTCAATTGCTTGGTCTGAAACAATGATGCATAATGATACAATAATTTGATAGTAGTGCTCAGAGTAATTACATTGAGTGCTGTGGTTATTATTATTATTTGACCGATGTGTTGATATTATAAACGGTCTGTTTGTTTGTATGTATTTCTCAATTGATTGTGGAAAAACAGGAACCAATCAAGCTATGGGTCCACTTTTATTTGTTGCTGTTATTCACATCACTGAATACAGAGGTCAAAAAGATGCTGAAAATTACTATACTTTAATAGTTAGTTAAAAATTCAAATACAAAATGCCATTACTGACAGCATCTTCATATGAAATAGAAAATCCTTGGTGTGTTTTATATTATTTTATTCTTTCTTTGCGATACAGTAACTATGTCATATTTTGTATGTTTGGAAAATTATGGTATTTTTCTGCATGACTCAGACATCAGTTAAGTTAATTAGCAAATCTAAAATAACCTGCAGAGCAGAATTCATTTCTCCTTGGTGCTGTGCCTTGCTTTTTAATAGCAAATCATATGAACACCGTTTTGGTGCTTTAGGCCAAACACCCACTGTTTGACAACAAATAATTGGTGATAATTATGCAAATGCAACAAAAAAATAATGCTATCATGGTAACCATGGAGATGGTACTTACATTCACAGAACACTGGTCTGCTTGTATGGCTTTGATGTCCACACTTTACAGCAGTAGTAACATGGTGCTAAAACAAGAAGAGGAGTCTAGAGCCATGCTAGTGGCTCTGTGAGGCTGTATTTTGGCGCAGCAGTGCTTTAGCTAAATGTTATCATCACCTTGCTGACATGCTCATAGTGATAATGCTAACATGCTAATGTATAGCAGTTATAATGCTGACCATGGTCTCTATCTTAGTTTAGCATTTTAGCATGGTAATATTTCCTAACTAGCACAAAACACAACCTACAGCAGAGGCTGATTGTAATGTCACTCATTTTGCAGATAATTTGTCATAAACCAAAATATTAGACAAATTGAAATTTTGACCTGGCGGTAGCGCTAAGTACAAGGTTACCAAAGCTAATACACTTCATCCCAAGGTGCAAGAAGTCCAAAACCACATTCCAATCTCATTCTTTAGTGTTAGAGGAAAAATCAGGGGATCACCAAAATCAGTTGGATTCATCCTCTGAGGACCATCAATGCCTGTATTTAATTTCTTGGCCATTCACCTAATAGTTGTTGAGATTTTTCAGTGTCGACCAAGCTGGTGGATCGACCAATTGACCAGCAATATGATCCCCAGAACCATGCTTTTTTTTTCACTATAGTTACTATGTAAATTAAAAATGCTTAATTGTTGGGAATCCTGCAGACCACGGCTGAATTTATAGTATCATCTACATTTGGAGACACAACCCTACAGCATGATTCTGGGATGATGTGTTTCTGCTGATGTGTTTAGCATGATTGCAAATGTTTTAATTTCTGGTCTCAGCAGACCATTGAACATACAGGCCTTAAAGTGAATTTTGAATTTTTTTGACTAATAAAGCACCAACAGTTCTTATGCAAAATGTCTTTAGTGTCGCCGTGGAACACAGTAGCTCAGAAAAAATTGTTGCCATCGGTCTTCACAAAATTTAAAACAATTTATGACATAAAGTCCTTGACACCATAATCTCCCTGTCTCTTCTATTTGTAAAGTAGTTGATCAAAAGGTTATTGTATAAAGTAGAGTTGACAGGTTATGGTCTGAATGTTTGTTTAGATTAATGTCATAGTTCAGATAAAATGTAATATTCAGAGGGCATTTATTGTCGGTGTGTCTTCTCGACATCCAAACTAAACTTTTCATGAAACTAACTAATATTTTCAGTTGGTCTGTGCTAAGTAATGCAAACAAAGTACATCTGCAATGCTAATGCTAATGCAATGCAATGCAAAAAAAAATACCACACCCTCTGACAAACCCTACCCTGTTCCTGGTGAAATGTGATGCCTGAATGATTTGATTTGGCCAATTCTCAGGAAGCCACTTCCTTAGGCAACTCAACTGAAGCCAGTCATGCAGTCATGACCAGCAGTGCAGCGCATACATCGCTTTTTTTATTTTATTTTTTTTTATCTGTTGTTTGTGTATTTTAAATGAATATGAATTTTGCACCACTGTTGTGCTCAGCTGTTGGTGTCTGTGTCTCGGCTGTAACAACATTTTTTTCAGATAATTAATCTGCAGTGTTATGACGCTGTGTTAAATATACACACGGGTACATTTACACACATATAATATTACACACTGGTTGGTGGAGTAATCCGTTTAATGCAGGCCTTTGTCTTTGTTAGACATCGACTAACAAAGATATTTGTCTTGTAAGGCTCCACACAGGCTGATTAAACACTAAATGGTTTACACAGAGAGGTGATGTCATAGCTTACTGACGGCTCCTTGAGGGCTCAAACCTCAGCCCTGCTGGAGAGCTCTGTCCTCCTATTATCTCCACAAAAGGAATCAGGCTCGTCCTGCCCAGCTTTAAATGCCCCCCCCACCCCCCCATTCTCCATACACTCCCCAGTCAACTTTAGGCTGAGTTGACCCAACTAGCATTACATTTAACTAGCACCTTTTATAATTGCTCCCTTGGTTATGCTGGGAACTCTGCTTGCCATGGGTGTGTGAATGTGAATAGAGAGGGGGTTGGAGCCTTGTGACTCTCTCTGACCCTCTGTCTCTCTCTTTCTTGCTCTCTCTCTCTCTCTCTCTCTCTCTCTCTCTCTCTCTCTCTCTCTCCCTCCCTCTCTCCACCCACTAGTGAATGAGCAGATTGATCTCTGGCTTCTTGACTCTGCGTGGTGAGGAAAGGTAGCTGGTGATTTGGTATTGAGCCACAGCAACACAGATATGTGGAGTCAGAAAAGCGTTGGGCTAAGAGGCAGTTTTGTCTAATTACCTCTTTTCAGCTCCACTGCAGCAGAGGGAGAGAGAGAAAGACTCATTGCCTCCCAGCTGACACTTGCTGTGCCGTCTGATGCGTGTTTTTATGTTTCTTACAAAAGCTCTCCTTTACAATGCTGTGTACTCAGCCATGGATAGGCTATAGAGCTTGCCCAACCTCAGAACCATGCTTGGCTCCAAACAGAGGGGGGGTAAGTTATACTTTGAGATGGATAAATTTGTGTTACATTAAGTATTTTATGTCTCAATATGGTATTGCAAGATTACTGCATGGTGTTCTTCACAGGCTCAAGTCTTTACATCCTGGAAAATGCTTTGCACATCGTTTTTTTTTCTTATTATTTTTATTCTATTTTCTGAATACTTTGTGGTAATGGAAAACAGGGCCTACTAACTGCTGTATGTGGGTCAAACTGATTAAATTATCTGATGCTTTGTCTCACTTTTAATACTGGTCATTTCATTACCTCAAGCCAAAAACATTCTGCTTGTACTTCTTGAAGGTGAAAAGTATCCCGTCCTGGTTAATAGTTTGTTAACTCAATGCTTCTGTTGCAGGTAATCAAAGTTTATAATGAAGATAACACCAGCAGAGCAGTAGAGGTTCCCAGTGACATCACTGCCCGGGACATATGTCAGCTGTTTGTCTTGAAGAACCACTGCATTGATGACCACAGCTGGACTCTTTTTGAACACCTCTCCCATCTGGGAATAGGTAAGATTTTGTTTTCCTGCAAAATTATTATCTTTTTGTGAGAATGTGAAAATCTCAATACCAACATGGTCAGTACCCTTAAACAAATCTTAAAATGCTCAAGTTGTGTTTAATCAAAAGGTCCCTCTGCAACCTGCAATCACAGGCTCAGAGCTACAAGGTTCCCTGTGCTGTACATTAGGGCCAAAAGAAAAACTCTTTGACATATATTTTGTGTATATATATCATTGTTATTTTGTTGTCTCAGTCTGTGTTAAGCGTTAATAAACAGTAAGTAAAGTTTTTTTTTGTTTTTTTTTAAAGGTAATATTTCAATTCATAAACCAAATAGTATATTGTAATGTCTTGCATGGCTGATTCCACACCTCTGAATCATTGCACACGTTTCAGATATTTTTCAACAATTCAAGCAGTTTTCACTGAATGAAATGATGAAGTGAAAACTAAATATTTTTATGGCTCATGTCATTTTTATGAATCTATGATAATGTACTGAACCAATTCTGGTTATAGATTGTTGGTCTTAATATACATGAAACCAGCACTTGTTTGATTTTGACATATTTACAGTATGTACTTGTATTAATCATGTGATACTAATGTTGTTAGTCCTATGGGCGGGGTTTGCTTTGCTTGAATTGATTAGAGGATTGGCCGTAGGTAGTGGGGTGGGGAAATGTGTATGAGAGTGGAGCAAAGACTGTCCTGCATGTCTTCTGTTGAATCCTAAACCACATAGTGTAAAATGTGAGAGGAGCTGATGTTTGACTGTGTCTTTATCACAGTGAGACCTAAATTATAGATCTTGATCTTCCTTGTGTAGAATAATATTTCTCATCCTCTATTGGAGTTGCATTGGTAGAGACTGTCTACACAGACACATATGGAGTTCCTCCCATTGTATCATTTTCATCCCTGTCCACGTGGCTTTGGTTGTTGAATGCACGAGGTTGCTGTAAGCTCTAAATTACCTGCTGCTGCCAATTTGCTGTTAGCTATAAACAGTTATGTAACATACACTGTGATGTCAGAGCTTGTAAATTAAAGGGACATCACCTCCATTTGCATTAAATAATGGTGAATGACATAAAATATTGTTCTTGGTAAGCCAACAGTGAAAACACGCGTATGTGTCAATGGTGTATGAATACTGAACTGCAAGAGGGCAGTGTGATTGCATAAATGATTACTCAGCTGCATTTTCACACTATTGCACACATTACATAATTCATCCATCTGTTCTGTCCCTGTCATCAAATGTCTATTTTTAGTCAGGACTACATATCACTGGTATCCAGAGAAAACCATGTATCTAGATATTTATTCTTCAACTTTATTCAGATAAATTAACTATATGTTAACTATATTCTCCTTTTCAGGGTTGACACAATTCCACCGAGCTAATGTAACTCTGTAAGAGCCCATTGACTTGTGTCAAAACACAATATCTCAAAGCTCAAGGCTCTTTTTTTCTTAGTTTAAAAAAAAAAAGTTTGTTAGTGATTGGGGATACAAGGTTTCATGTGTAAAGGGCATGTCTATAAATACTTATTCAATTAAATCATTTATAAAGCAGGGCGTATGTCATTTTTCAGATTTTATTTTATCAGCCATGTAAATCATGATTAGTCACTTGTTGCCTTCTTTGTCATAGTTCATTGTACAACACTTCTTCACATGGCTGTGTGGAAAAAAAAAGATTAAAAAAAAGTTTTTCCAATAATTCAACAATCATTTTTAGTTCTAGGAAATAATTAATGTTTATGTTGAACTGCCTGACTTGAGAGCCACGCATTCATCCAGAGGTTACACATTGATACAAAGTTAATAATCAAACTCCGTGCCTCGAAGTTAAGCAATATAACTCTTGCAGGAAAATCTTTTGCAGACATAATTTCTCTGTGATTTTAAGCAAGTTTAAAGTCATATCTTTAATGTTGGTTTGGCGTCGTAGCTGATTCTAATTGGGTCTCTGTCTTTTATCAACAGAGCAGTGAAAAATAGATTTAATCTGTCGTTCATTATCTTTCCTACTTGTCTCACTAGAGAGAACCATTGAAGACCATGAGTCTGTTATGGAGGTGCTATCGGGCTGGGGGATGGACACAGACAGCCGGCTGTATTTTAGGAAGAATTACGCAAAATATGAATTCTTCAGGAAACCCCTGGTGAGTTTGTGATGACATTATGTGCATGGTTTGAACTAACCCACCTGTATTCCCATCATAGTGTGGGTTAAGGGGGTCAAACAGTGTTGTAATACTGATGCTGCTTTCATATTGGTAGGACTTTTTCCCAGATCACATGGTCTCCATATCCAGTGAAACCAATGGGATGGTGGATCACTCTCAGATTATACAGGTATCAGGTTCTTTCTGTTTACATTGAACTCACTGCCCTCGAGTGCCAATTGTGAGTTTCTCAACCTCTGTCTATATGTGTTGTGCTACCTTGAGAATCTACTGCACAAACCCACCTACTGACAAATATTTCTCTGCCCAACACAGACCTTTCTCAACTCCAGCACTTGTCCAGAGATACATGGACACCTCCATGCCAAAGAACAAAGCAGGAAGTCTTGGAAGAAGTTTTATTTTGTCCTGCGGAGGTCGGGGCTTTATTTTTCCAATAAGGGAACTTCCAAGGTCAGTGAAACAAAATCATTCACATGCATATTTGGAAAATCAAAAGTAATAAAATTAAAAAAAAAAAATCTGTGGGTTATTTGTTGCATACAACTGAAACCACTCTGCTACAGTTTTTAGTTACCACAGTAAACATTCAGGATAAACAAATGCATGGCACCAATTGGAAGAATGAAAATTATTGACACAATCTTTGAAGACTCATTGTATTCCTCTGTTTTTACACTATGGGTTCACCAGTTCATCCTCTGTATATACAGTATCTCACTCATGTTGTGAGAGGGCAGTGGAACAGGTTGAGCTTGATTTTCCTTAGGTCAGCTGGCACAGCAGCCAGGCAGAAACAGTGCTCTCAATGCTGCTGACAAGTGAACCTTATACCTAGGCACTAGCCATGCCAACACAACCACTTCTCAACTGCTTTCATTTCCTACAACAGTAGACCTTTTGTTGTCCAGCACAGGGAGGCTTTGGTATGGTGCCCACTTTTACTCTAGCAGGTTTACCATTCATCTGCGGTCTTGGTCAGACATGTTGCTAGTCAGTCAGCACAGACACTAACGGCTGTGGCTTTACTTTAAATAAGGAAGTGGGAACGGTGTGTCACATGAAAGCAGAACAATGGTAGCCCTTGTGCTTTTTTTTTTTTTTTTTTCCTTGGAAATTTATCTCTGGCACAATGTGGCTGTTGATACTGTCTCAACACAGCCTGTATCAATATTTCTAAATTTATCCTTATCTCTTTCATTACATTTATAGGTTAACCACACCCGGAATTACTGATAACACTGTTTTATAGACTTATTGATAAATATGCATTGTTTAAATTAAATTTTTTGTGCTTGCCTCCACCTCTGTTGTTAGATTAGACTATAAGCATGGTTTCATTCAAAGACACTATGGTATTCATCCACTTTTTTCAGTTGTAGTTTCCTAATAAAAGCATGTCCTATTCATAAATGACTTTCTTGTTCACCATAGACAGACATGTTGTGGAAATTAATATAAGACACAACTCTATGATTTGATGTTGCATGAAACTTCATACCTATAACTGTACTTGCGTTTTATTATTGCCTCTCTCTCTTGTTTTAAAGGAACCAAGACATCTCCAGTTCATTGCCGACTTTAGTGACAGTGACGTCTACACCGTTTTGTCAGCCAAAAAACTACACGGAGCACCTACAGATTATAGCTTCTGCGTCAAGGTACCATCACCTTCTAGACATGCTACCACTGTACAAAAGGAGCACAAGTAGGGAGAGCATTGATTTCCAGTAGGTTGAACTCCTTTTTGTCTTAATGTAACTTCTCCCTCCAGTCCACAAAGTGTAGTTCAGCCCGGGACTTGAAGCTGCTTTGTGCGGATGATGAGCCCACCAGGACCTGCTGGATCACAGCCATGCGCTTGTTAAAGGTTGGCTTGCCGATCACAAACTGCGGGTCTGTGTCTAAGAGGGGGAATGCTGAGTCAATGCTAGAATCAGATTTAGCTTTGGGAGGAGGTCAAGGGAAACTATTGAGTGATGCTGGATTAGCACTCCCTCTCTTGATAGAAGCAGCATGTGTTCATTGTCTGGATGTCTGCTGGATACAGTTTAAAGTATTAGTCACTCTCCTGCTTGTCTATAAATAATATACAGTAAAGCACAATCAATAATAGTATTTGTATCTGTCCATTTTCATCATTATGCGACAAGTTTACTGAAAGTATTTTACAGTTAATGTGTAAAAGGTTTGTATTTAAAATACTGACATTTTTTTTTGTTTCAGTATGGGATGCAACTGTACCAAAACTTCATTCAGCCACACCAGAAACAAAAAGCCTCTCCAATGGTAAACTGAAGCTCTTATTATTTAACTGTCTTCTAACTCACTTCTAAATAGTAGTAATAATTAGTAATAGTAATAGTTTGCCCCTTTTAACATTGACTCATTATTTTGGTGCTTAGGCCACAAAATCTGTGCTCATCAACTTAATTTCTAGCTACAGTAGTCATCTTTCTTTCAGCCAGAAAGCTGTGATAAATCCCCTTTATAGTACATATCAAGCACTAAAATACTGACATACTGATAATATTAACAACTAGCTAACTAGCTCCACCACCCCCAGGTTACTAAAAGGAATGAATTAAAGTCAAATTTCCATGCACTGAAAATCTGTTGGAGCTAACACATGCCAACACATAGGAGTGTAGTAAAAGCCTATAATTACATAGGACGAAAGAGGCACCTTCAGTGTGTTAATGTAGGTTTCTTGTCCCATAATAGCCTCAGACTCTACTGGGAGTATTTTTGTGGCAGTGAACACAAATCTATTTATGGCTTTTGGACATGTTCATGAACCCTCTGCCTTCTAAAAATACACAGTGATCAGCTGCTCACAGATTTAACAACTCATCACCTCTTCTCTGTTGTCAGAGGGTCATATGTGACCGGCAGCCTCGCCAAGAGGATTAGCTAGAAAGATAGAAGAGTGCATGAATCTGCCAAAAGGGAGGGTCAGGCTGTTGAATCTCCTGTATTCTACATGAAAGATATAGCTGTACATGCTATCCTGGAAATACATCTTCATTTACTTTTCACACTGAAGAGTAAATGAAAGCCATATTTAAACACAACATTACTGTAAGTAAGACTTCGATAAGTGGGGATGGGTATCTTTACATTGGATTTGGAGCAGAGCAGATAAGAGGAATTGGAATGCCTCTATCCTCAAAGCAAACACTGCTCACTTTGTTTTAACCACTTGTTTAAATTGCAAGCTTAGTAGGTGGTAGAGGAACAAATGTGGTAATTTCAAAGCTTTTTGTTAATCCTGATAAAAAAGAAATTTCTTCAGCATGCGCAGTTATTTAGAGCCACTCACTATATGGCAGCTTAAAGGACTAAAATGTGCCCATGTGTCATTCTTCTCAAAGCCACTCTAATCCTTTTTCAATGGGGTTTTCTGTCTGGAATCATCTAGAAGTGACGAGGATGGAGTCATGTTGCTCAGACACTAGATGGCAATACAATACCACACGATACCAAAAGTCAGTCCACTTCCTTTCCACAGTATACAAAGGAAACCAAAAATAAGAAGAACATTGGCTGTTTTGTAGAGTATCAGACATGCTTTTGTTTTTCCATCTTTGACACATGGAAAAGAAAAGAGAAACGAAGTGTCATGGGAAAATAAAGCGAAAAGTGAGGAATGATTTAAACATCAATAAGCTCATCAAGAATAACAACATGATAACTGTGTCATTTTAGAGAAGCATCTCAGAGAACTCATTGGTGGCCATGGACTTTTCTGGCCAAAGGAGCCGGGTGATCGAGAACCCATCTGAGGCGCTGTCTGTGGCTGTAGAGGAAGGCCTGTCATGGAGGGTAAGTCAGGGGTCTTATTTAAAAACTTTCTCTAGAGTTAGAAAAGATTCCCAATATTGTAAACAAGAATTTGCAATAGCCATATTACTTAACATTTTGTCGAACTTAATGAAAATCTCTTAAATAAATGGAACAAATCTTGGAACAAATTCTTGAAATGTAGTCATGTGTTCTTACAATTTACAACCTCATAGTTATTAAGAATTTACCTCATGTTTTTGAACAACACGCTTTATAGTCATACACACAGCTGGTTACCACAACAAAATAAAGCTTGTAAGGTCAACAGCTGTAAGCACCTCATAATTGAACTAGAATAAGAAGAGAAGAGAGACGGAATAAATTAGCTATGTTCTCAAATTAATTTGACTAATGTTGCGGCTGTAACTCATTTCTGCCTCAGAGGAAAAGCTGCCACCGTCTGAGCAGTCACGGGAGCCCCTCCACATCACAGAGTTCAGTGTCAAACATAGGTTCGTGGGACACTTTTTTGTTATTCTGATTTTCTGTATGTACACAATTGATATAAATGATTAGTAACATATCCGCTCCATGTGTGCCTCAGCTCTGCACTTGGCTCAGCCGTGGTTCCACAGCAAACTGTCTCGGGATGAGGCTCAGCGTCTAATCACTCAACAGGGTCTTATTGATGGGTAAGCAGCTACAGTGTACACTTCACTGTTTAAAAAGAGTCATTAAAGACATCTATTTTTCTGGCTCTATGTCGCATTTAGTGTATGTTCCTTACACAGTGAGGATTTTATTCTATACCTATTTTTTTGAAGCATGTCAGTGCTGTTATTAAAGGGCCCTTTCCCTGTCAAATACATTTTTAATGGAAGTCACATCTGAATTCTTTGCAGAACAGTAATCACGTGTATTTGACAGTACAGTAGAACAGTTGTGCAGTGGTTAGGTACAGAATATAATCATTGAGAGTGTAACATACAGTAAATCTTTTTCTTTGAAGTGCATTACTCCTGCATTACGTTATTGTATCACAGCTTCTGAACATATCTTTACATACTGTCAACAAACTGTAAGCATATTTCCAATAACCAAAAAGAAAGGGGCTAAAAGCAAGATTCTTCTTAGTGGTCTGTAATAGGTTGAAATTTAAGACAGTTTATCCTATGTTGTTCTTTAAGTACCAGCAAATGCCACATTGTGTGCAAAAATTGCTCATTTTTTTCACGCTTTAGATTTATTATTATCTGTATTTTAGAAAATCTTGAAACGGGGCAAAAGTAAGAAGCAGTGTTCTTGGTGCTTTCAGAGTATTTCTTCTGAGGGACAGCCAAAGCAACCCTAAGACATTCGTACTGTCACTGTGCCACATGCAGAAAGTCAAACACTTTCAGATCTTACCTGTGAGTACAATCCAGTGTTTGCATATACAGTTCCAAGATTCTTTCTCATCCATCTTCCAAACATTACCTCCAAAATTTTAACCTCATTTCCAATAAGTCACTTATCTTTTGTGTGCAATTCCCTTGTGTGTGGATGCACATGTAGGTGGATAATGAAGGGGAGTCGCTCTACAGTCTGGATGACGGTCACACACAGTTCACTGACTTGATCCAGCTGGTGGAGTTTTACCAGCTAAACCGTGGGGTGCTGCCCTGCAAGCTCAAGCACCACTGTGCCCGGATCACCCTGTGAGCAAGGGAGGCAGCAGACCCCTGCGGGCCCTCGTGCACCTTAACTCCAGGGCCTTTCTGGACAAACACTCCCAGTGTTTTTGTGCCTTGAAGAAGAAAGATATACACAATAACTGAACAGCCATGCTAACTGAAACCACTGTTATCTTCATCTAGAGTCCACATTCATACTGTGGTACACGGTCTGTCCTTTCTTATTTTTCAGAAAAAGCTGAATTTGACAATAGACCATATAATAACTGATTATGGGCGCTGAAGATGATGTGCGGTTTTATCTGGTAAACACTACTCTTCAGTCCTGCCAAATCCATTGTGCAAAGTTCAAACATGGCTTCTTGTCCTGTATATTGTAAAGCTGAATGTGTATTGCAAACAGATTGTGGAGCCAATGAAAGAAAGAAAGTAGCTTTTCTTGGTAAGTGACATACATTAACTGGACTTTGAGTTTTCACTGAAAAGTCAAATAGAATGTCTTCTGCAGTATGTATACCGTCATTCAGTTGTGGTCTGTCAAAGCTAATGATGGTTGAGTCCCAACAAGGGCATAATTGTTTATTTGCTACCGCGTGATGCTGGGGATTGCAGTACACAGCATCTCTGAATTAAATTTGAGTAAAACTAAGCTATCGTACTTTTCATTGTCATTGCATCTCTCTGAGTATTCAGGTTTTTTGTTTGTTTTTTTTTTTTTTTTTAAGAAAATGATTGTTTTCTATTTGAGAGATAAAATGACCTCTCAGGAAGTGTCACTGTGCATGCTCTGTATGCTGGACCGAGACTGCTGTAGAGAGAAGAAGAGACGTAATGTACAGGTGGAGAGGTGGCACACAGCCTCACTAGTCTGCACTGTACATTAGTTTTAAATGTATGTGATTAAATGAATTTTTTTGTATTAGATGAAATCAGTTGTGCGCTTGCTCTACAGTAAGGGCAGTGGCATATTTCACCAATTTTAGACATAAGTCATTAAGATGGAAATCAGAAATAATAATAATATTTGAATTCATTGTATATTGAAATTTAGCTTTTATATTTTCCAAAGATTCAGGTACACCGTGTGCAAAGCCTGGGTTGGTTGTATTTTGATGTTATTACCACTGCTGTGGTTAAACAGTGTCAGATATTGTTTTGATTTTGAAAAGCCAATAATGCATCAGCTTTTAAGAACAAGGTGTTGTAAATCACTGACACGATTGAATGACCATCTGGTGTTTTGTTGTTTCATTTATTTTTCAGCTGGACAACAGTGCATTGAACAATGAATGTCATGGACTGCATAGTTTTATATATATAAACACAGCCTGTTTGTAATGTATGATTTTGTTTGATTTGTTGTCACATTCAGGGTTTTCTGACTCCCAAAGAACTGTAGAATAGTTATTAGAAAATCACCGTCTCATTTTAACCCACAGTAGGTTTCAGTGATGTTTAAGAACTGCCAGCAATGTGTTATTCATGTTTACTGTGGTTCAGTAAGCAGCACCACAAGCTCTTTAACTCTAAAGCCTAAATAAGATCTGGCACAGAGTGAGGCAATAGATCACTAGGCTAATAAACCCGAGCTTTATTTCAAATATAAAACAGTTTACATTGTAGTCTTTAGATAGGATATTTCTCAGTAAGTAGGGCATACATGGTTATCATATAAATGCAATGACACACGTGAAATATAACAGCAAAATGAAGCCTTCTCATCAGCACACAGTGGGGTGCTCCTCTGTGCAGAAAGATTTTTCTGGTGAATACATAAGTCATGATTTTCTAATGGGATCCAGCACAGTTAAATTTAGTCACACTACATAGCCTGTGTACGGGACACATTAGCCTAACATTGTCAAGTATGATTTACTGAATTCTGTGGGTACTACTCTGTATACATACATATACTTTGTGTCCTCCATGGAACCGTCACATAAATATTTTTTATAACCACTAGATGGTACTAGAAGCATTTTGCTATTGCTTGTCCAAGTTTGTGTCTGAAATCTTATTGTGTCCAGTGCAATTTAAATTACATAATACATAAGAAATGTGTCAAAGATGCAAGTTGGGTTAATGTTAATTTTTTTTAAAAAAAGCAAAGTTATTTAAAGGTTGTGCAACTAAGACCTCTCTGACATTGATCATCTGACATTTTATGTGCAACAGTTACCTGAGAATACACCAAGAATACACCATGCATAGTGACACCAACAACAGTCTGTGTGCGCCTGTTCTTACTAAGATGAGTAAATTTATACTGAAGATGCAAGTAATCCATTTCAGATAATCACATCTTCATATACATGACTTAAAGTGCCATTCGGTATTCAAAGAGAAATTTCCTTCATTCAATATGAATAACTGTAACATACACAATGATGGTTCCCTACCCAACAGTAAACAGCACAATGTCTCATCTCGAAGCATCCGTGTTAAACAATCCTCTCTGTTGTGATACAAACACATTGCCCCTATACCTCCCCTGCTCTACTTCAATAGCACATTTTGAAACAGAGCTCACATCCAGGGGAGATGTGCGCACACAGAGAAGTCTTAAATGCACCCCTGCTTCCGAGGTCTTGTGCTAAATGTTGTTTTGGATGTATTCCTGCCATTGATCGGAGTCTGGCTGCAGGGGGAGAGATGGCAGCTGGGAGAGCCTGCGCTTCCTTTAATGAATTCATCCAGCTCTATCCAGCCCAAACGGCCTGTGGATACAGCATCTCTCCCAGTAAAGAAAGCCTCTCTCCGCTCTGTCTCGGCCCTCATGGACAACCACCACTGTTCGTAACATTTCACACCACTACATTGGATTTACTCCTGCCTGCACTCTTACTCTTATGACTCCAGGTTTTGTACTTGAGCGTTGTCAGTTTCACTCCGTGCTCAAATGCCCCTCTTGTTGTATTCCCCGAGTCTGTTTTCAGTTATCTGGCTTCGATGTCTTTGGCCAGTTACTGATTATCTTCAATGAAGTGAAGACCTTGCTGTTTGCTCTGCTCTTGATCCACAAAAGGGCATTATCTGGGCTTGGTTATGAGTCTATGAGGAAATGGGGCTAGGTTTCTTTAGGGGATGCACTTTAGTGAAGGTTAGAGGCTTTGACTATTCCTTTGCAAAGGGCTCTCCCATCAGGAGTATCTAAAGCCAGAAGCAAATCCAACAGCTCTTTACTGTAACTGCAATGGCCACAGTGGACTGGAGCAGAGATAATCATAGGTCGATATGAAAAAATTATTAAATACGTGAAAGATCATCTGTTTTCAGTGTTTCCTAAGGAACAATTCTCACATAATACAAAAAAAAATGTTTGCAGATTTACCCACAATGTATAAATCATACACACAAATCAGCTTTTTATTTATTTTTTCATGTCATAGTAACCCTTACCCTAACTCACCCCCTCCACACACACACACACTTTATGTACTTATAAAGTGAGAATTAAGAGCTGCTGTAATATATTACCCCTCCCTCTTAAAACAGTGATGCAACACCACTGTACAGTTTGGCTTTGTTCGAACTGGAATTTCTAACTTGTTTTAATTTGGCAAATGCAAAGCCAGTCTTTGTGCCGATTTTTTTTTATGAACTTTAATGTATTTTATATATATATATATATATATATATTATAATCAGGTAAATGAAAAGGAGTAGATGACACATTATTTGGAGCTCAGAGGCTTACTCAATGGATTTCTACTTTCTGTTTATAGCTTGAAGGCATTATGGGTAATGGTTGGACATGTGTAATCCAAAATTCTCCAATATACTTTGCATGCCATATAACACATTATCTGTTTGTTGTTTAAAACGATCGACTAATAAAAAGAATGATCAGGGCTTTTATGATGCATTAAAAAATCTATGCATTTGCCCACAGCTTTATATTCAGGATTTTTTATATTATTTATATATTAAATTATGTACTACAGCAAGGTTTTCAGGGTTTGAAATAATTAGATTATATGCAGTCATAAAAAAATTCTATGCTTTGAAACAGTTTTGATTTTATGTAGACAACAGTTGTAAAATGTATAAAATTATATACAACAGCAGCAACAATAATGACAAATTTATTTTAAAACAAACCCATTGCTACTATACAATTAATGGCTCTCATATCTTTTTCCCCACTGCATGAGATTCTCGGAGAACGTGGTCGTGCCGTGGTGGGAAAGGGATTTTCTTGGTGTATTGAGCATCTTTGGTAATGTATTATGTCTCAGATAATTGCCCAGACAGTGCTTGCTCTATAAGTCGCCTCTCTAACCTCTGATATATTTTTCTGGGGGTCTTGGAACTGGCAAACGGTAAGTGCCAAGCTTTGTTAATTACAAGGATAACACATGCACTCGTCAAATAATGGATGTGGTTTGCAATTTCAAGTTTTAATAATCAATTACTGGCTGTAATTCTCTGTGGAGTCACAGGATAGTCATTAAATCTCAAAAGGCAAGCAATGTAGCTTTTTCCAAAGCCCTATTTTTAAATACATAAGGGAACAGGGTCTGCTTTAATCCGGTGCATTTTGTTGCCTTATTACAATGTAAAGTAGCTCAATTAGACCTAGACAGTGCTGCTTGTAAAATAACTGTTCAAAACAGTGAGTGATGAATGGTCATATCAATGCTTATTCCTCCAGGAACTGAGCTAACAAGGACAAGAGCAGAACGATGCTCTGTTACAGTAATACTGCAGATCAGCTTGTTTTTTTTATTTTTTTTATATGAGTTACTGCTTTCATTATGTTGAAGCTAGAAGTTCTGAATGTGCTCACATTAAACAGACATATCTGTCTTTTGATGTTCAGCTTGGTACACCTCTGTAACTGGCCTCTTTGATCTTAGCAAACAGGTAGTTGTAGTGGTATCGAATCTTTCTTTTTTTTTCTTCTTCCTATTCAGCAGGGTTCCTGTTATTGTATTTTCAGTCCACCTTCAAAGCTGAAACGTTGCAGAGGTTCTTCTTGACCTTGAGAAATTAACATGGGAGGACTGGCTTTGCTCTGAGGGAGCCCTATAGAGGCCACGTCCCTTCCTAATCCCCAGCTGAAAGGCATACCTCTGCTGCTCAGACGAAACATCCCAGCAGGCTAAGTGTTTACATGGTATCAGGCGATATCCTGACATAAAAACAAGACATGGAATATTTCATTCAGATCATTTAATTTGGAAACATTCTCTTTTTGACAGATATAGGTTGTGACGGTGTGTAGAGTTTGTGTGTGTGTGTGTGTGTGTGTGTGTGTGTGTGTGTGTGTGTGAGATGGAGTGACAGAAAGAGAGAGAAAGAGAGAGGAATGAGTTTGGCCCTGCACAGATGAACAAACAGTGAATCTGAAGTGCAGCGCCCTGTGTGGCTGCCCACCAACTGAACAACATTAAGGCAGTCCTCCATGTAAAACCTGCTCACTTCTCCCACAAACACTCGAGTTTGGCAAACGGGCAGCGGCTCAGCGGGGAGGAGCTCTCACTGGAAGGCAGACAGTGAGCTATGGACAGCAGGGAGACGTAAACCACAGCTTCTGGTGGTGATGGACTGATGTTTTAGGTGATCAAAAAGATGAAGAAGAAAAGGAAAACGACAGGGGTAAAACCAGGAGGGGGTCTTGGAGAGGAAAACATTTTGGACTTTAAAGGTAGAAAGACATGAATAGCAAAGTAAAGCTGAGATGTTTGACAGTGCAGCACTTGGGGTGAATATTATTGCACACTGTAAAAGTAGATCCAAACTCTCAGATTCCCACTCCTGTGTTTGCTATCAGTCATACCTTCACATGTAGTTGTGCAAAAGAAACTTTGAAACAACATGATATATATCATGGGGCAATTTACTTCAAGGTTACAGAGCAGATCTTAGGATGATATATTGTCCTTGCATTTTTCTGCAAAATAGGTCAAAATGTTCACTGTGGCACTCACAGATGCACATGTGCGCATGTGCATGAGCACATATACACACGCATTGGATCAATTTACATTCCTGCCTACTTTTTTCTCTCATTAACATGGTGTGCGAGTGACTCCTGAACAGAGTAGGAAGACTTGTGGAAGAATTAGGAAATGGTCCATTTCTGCGAACACAGTGGAATAGAAGCAGAGCAGCATATGTTGGGATTTGAATGGTCAATCGATGAATAACCCAGAGCGGTGTTTTTCTGTGCAGATTGGCAGGCATTGTGTGGTGGTATCTATGTGTATGTGTGTGTGTGTGTGTGTGTGTGTTTGTGTGTGTGTGTGTGTGTGTGTGTAAGAGAGAGAGAGAGTGAGGTATGGGGGCATGGAGTAGTGGGGATTCATCCTTCCCCAAAGTATTACGCAGTGGTCAAAAATATTTGCAATGCCAGGAGGTATTTTGAAAAATATTTGAAAAAATTCAATACTGCGCTGACCTTTTGCTGGGCATTTGTGAACAGATTCACTCTCCGTCTAATCTGGCTCAGAGTCAGGGAGGATCTGTGTTACTGTATCATGTTCTCGATTCTAAATTATGTTAATCTACTCTGCGCGTACATTGTCTTTATTAAAATCTTTTGTTTTAATTTTACAAGTCAAGGTGGCATACTTCAAATTTAGCAAAACAAGAAATTAAAAATTTCATTGACATACACTGGGCAAGAATTTACATATTATGAAACTGATAGTTGCCTGTATAATTTATAAGGGAAATACATTTTATATGATCCAAAAGTATTTTTCTCTCCCTCATGTAGATTCTTTTTTTTTTTTTTTTTACAAAAGTGTATTATATGAATCAAAATCCCTATTATTATTTTTCCTATACATACGTCTACATCCCATATGTCCTTATACTTATCAAATTAATTATTGCAGTGATTTTCACTTGGATCTTCTTACTGATGAACTGATGTGGAATGTACCTCATTCTACCTCCACAAGAGGGCAGAAAGTATCCAAGCACACACAATGTAATGAATTTGCAATTCATTAGATTATATGCCTACAGCATTTATAATAAACATCTACTTATTTTAAGTGTGTGCCATTGTTGCACTCTGGAGAAAATGTCCTTGATTCTTCATCAGAACAGACAGACAGCAGGCAGAGGCAC